GTCTAGGTCGTTTCGTATTCCACCTGTACTCTTATTTATATGCTTGTGTTTGCATGTTTTTATCATCTCAATCATTTTACAATCACTCAGATTTGAGGTCAAGGGCCCACCATCACCACTCAACTGTGTGCGAACCTTCCTGAGGCGATCCTAGGGTCGATCAACTTTGATCGCATCATGGTATGAGAGCGACTCGGGAAACCAACGCACTGCCACCTCCGAAATCTTCGGCGATCACGTGTGGAAACCTTCAGAAGGTGGCGTCTGGCACACGCTCGCGTGTAAGAATGGCCAGAGGATGTGGTGGTCAGACGAATTTGACCGCTGAAGCACAGCCCAACCCGGGTGCGACAAGCGAGGAAACGACGACGATTGGAACCGCCGTCCTCGCACAACTGTTTCAGTGACTCACCAGCTTGAAGCAAGGACTCCAAACATTGTGGAATGGCGACGCGGAAACTTCTTCCCAACCCTCTCAACCGGCCTCGACTGGCCACAATACCGCCCCGCACACCTTCTCCCTTGACACAAATGGCTCGACTACCAAGACTCATTGTCCCAGCGAAGAAGCAATTTTCTCTCCACAATCAAGGTTTCTGAGTGAGTGTTTTGACGGCAAAGACTTCTATACGTGGAGCTTCCAGCTGGAGCTGCTGCTGCAAAACGCACAGAAATTCCACTACTTTGACGGGAGCTACGCCGACGCCAGGGCGCATTACTACAACGAATCGTTTATGGCGTACGGCGTCCTGCTGCGAAACATGTCGCCGGCGGAGCAGCTGAGCATTCGCTCATACAAAACAACGTCTGCTCCAGCCCTCGATGCCTGGCGGCACCTGAACGGCGTATACCAACCAAAAGACTCGGTTTCGTCGAGCCGCCTGCTCCAGCAGCTACTGGAAACCAATAAGGCCCCAGAGGAGAAGGCCAACAGCTACATTAATCTGTCGGAGCTTACGCGATCAAATCGCAAAATTGGGAAGCAGCATTTCCGAAGAAATCTTCGTGAACATCGTGCTTGAAGGGCTTGGCCCAGAATGGTGGCCCTGCAAGGCGCTTCTCAAACAGCAGGGGGTTATCTCGGAAGCCGCCCTATGCGCTGCCCTTCTTGTCGAACAAAGGGATATGGATCAGCAGCGACCAGCGCCGCGACGAGACAGGGAACGCCTCGCCTTCTACGCAGACAGCACAGAAGATCGGCGGCCACAGCGCCTTTACTGCAAAATCTGCAGAAACTTTGGGCACTTGGCATATCGATGCAAATTCCAATCTCGCCCTTGCCAGACCAATCCGAGCACCTGGTCTGGCCAACAAGACGCACAAAACGACACGCGTCAAGCCCAGGGGCATCAACCCCCATCCCGCAACCTGAACCTAGTGATTCAGCATCAGCAGCAGCAGCCGTTACAGCCTGCCCTCGTCCGCAACGTCATCGGCAACATGACCATGACAAGCGGATCGCGTAGTCCCCATGTGCGCACGCCATCACCTGAGCCAACACGCCATCCGATCGAGGCGTTCACAAACAACAACCCGTTCAGCACTCGCCACGATTTCAACGACGACGACAATCAAGACTCGAATTTCCCAGTTCCACTGCTTGAAAGCCCCCCGCACGTACCTGATTCGCAGGTGGCTCTGATCGACTGGATCTCGCGCGAAGAATTTCTCAAGTTTGACACACCGCACATCGTTACGCTGCGATTGGCGCTACTCGCACGTAACGACATCAGGTGCTACAACACGTGGTACCTGGATAGCTGTTGTGGGCAGCATATGGTGGGCTCCGAGCGTTACATATCCAACGCCGTCTCCAACCCCACAGTCACCTATGTTACTGTGGCGAACAACACACGACTGCGCGCAAGCGCGCAAGGGATTGTAGTTCTTAAGGCTCGTAGGAGCAAGACGCACATCACGCTGAACGATGTGCTAATTGTGCAGAATCTTTGCTTCAATCTCCTCTCGGCGGCGCAACTCATGGACTGCGAAGTTGACCTCAGTTTTGACCCCGAGACGCGCGACATCCTACTCCACTACACCGCGCCGAACAAGGCGCGCAAGCAGATCGGACGAGTGCACTCCGAGAATGGAGTCTACATTCTCGACTAGATATTACCGACTACAGCGGCGACTCGCAAGAGCTAATCGATCTTGTTCCACTGCGCTTCGAGCACATCCACCGGACTGGAAACACCCCGACGGAAGACTGTGGGTGCCGCATCACCCGCACCCGCATGAGCTGGCATCGCATGACCCTGATCCCGACGGCATCTGCAGGGACTGCCACATGCCCACCTCTCTACGAGCGCAATCGCCGGCCGCGGCCTCGCCGCCATCGCTGAAGCTGAGCGACACGCGCCGCCTGAAGAATGAACGCCTGCCCTCGAGCTTAAAGCAGTCACAGACAGAGTCTTCAGCCCGCCGAATCCGGAGCCAGGACAGACGCTTCCCGGCACACCAGCTGAGCGGCTCGAGAGCATCCTACGCGGACGACGTCGCGGCACCTTCGACGATCGCGGGGTGGTGCGCCCCTACGCAAAGGAGGAGTTCCCAAAGGTCTACCCCCACTGGCGCGACCCTACGAAGAAGCTCATCGTGGCGCAAGAAGAGGAACTAGCGTGACGCGAAGCGGAAGAGCTTCGCCAACGGAGCCTTGCCGAGGCGCGCGGAACGTTCGTCTGGAGCGTATGGGGTGCTGGTGAAGAGGAGAGCGCCTCCAATGAAGGGGGGTAGGAAAGCACTGGCGGATGGGGGAACCAGCAACATAGATGAATGGGGAGCCGCAACTAGTGGCAACACTAGCGGATGGGGCGCCGCATCTGGCGGCGAGACAAGCGGCTTGGGCACTTCCGGTGGAGGCTAGGGAACTTCCCGCGAAGACCAAAGGGGGGAAGAAGAAGCAGAAGCGGAACCTCCTGTTGATCCTCTTGGTCGTCCCCCGCGCCGCCCTGCACTTGCGCTACCCCCACCTGACGTCCAGCCGCACCGCGACCCTTGGGATACCATTGATTGGGGCAACGAACCGTCGACCCCACACCGCACAGTCTTTGGACCCGATCCCGAGCCACGCGAACCCACCTACTTCCCCGGAACAATCTCCGGAACTAACATTCCTCTCTCCGTGATTCTCGACAGAGATTCTTGGCGCTGATGCTAACCACAGCGAACGACAAAGAAGAAGAAGCTGACGGACCCTGAAGCAGTGCGCGTACGCTACATCCGCACCTCTGGGCTCCGTGCCAACAATAACCTTTGGCACCAGCGCCTCGATCACCCCTCGCGCAAGACGCTGAAGAACGGCATCGAAGCTGGCGTGTTTGCACTCCTTCGCCCTAACGGCACTGAAGTAATAAGCACGACACAGCCGTGCAACTGCACTATCTGCCCCGAAGCTGCGCTAAGCCATCAGCCATTCCCCCTGCTTGAGCCAGGAACTAACCGCTACCCAAAACTGCACAAGGTGTACAGTGACTTCCTCGTCGTCGGTCACTGCGGGCTCAACAACGAGTAGTACACACTTAAATTCGTGGACACTGGAACCCGTTACGTGTGGGTAGTCAACGTCAAACTTCGAAGCAGGGCCTACGAGGCCTTTCGTCTCTGGCTAGCGCACGCGTAGTGGCAATCTGGGAAGAAGTTAAAAATCTGGCAGTCAGACGGCGCAGCGGAATTTTGCAGCAGGGAACTACAGGATTACTTGGTGCAAATGGAAATCGAGCATCACATTTCCCTCCCCTACGCACACCAGCAGCAAGGCGTAGCTGAGCGCACGAACCGCACGCTCATGACAAAGGTCCGAGCGCTACTAAAGCAATCAAAGCTTCCGCTGACGTACTGGACTTACGCGATGCACCACGCCGTGCGTGTGCACAACCTGCTTTCAACCACCGACATCACTGGCAACTTGTCCCCACATCTGAAATGGACGGGCACGAAGGGCTTCACATCCATGCTCCGCGTGTGGGGATGCATGGTGCAGTACCGTCCGCCAACGTCAACAATCGGGAAATTCGCAAGCCGCGCGCGCTGGAGTATCCTGTCAAACTTATATGCTATAGTCTGTGTAGGCTGTAGTGGGGTAGTTCATATGGGGTACAACACTTTAGGGTTTCCTACTTGTACTCCTCATGCTGCTCAATGCCATCATTCCTCGTTCTATTTTCACATAGTTTCAGAGCAGGTTCCCTAGTGGGAACGGGTTTTTTTTTTTTTTAGGGCCCACCACGAAATTAATTTTTCCTGCCCTGCTCGAAGCGCGCTGCCGTGCCTGCCTGCCCCGTCGCGCGCCTCGCGCCTGCCTCACCTGCGCCTTTGCGCCTGCCCTGCTGTGTTCCGTCGAGTGCCTGCCCTACCCACGCCATTGCGCGCCTGCCCTACCCGCCGTCGAGCGCGTGCCCTACCTGCCGCCCGTCGAGCGCCTGCCGTGCCGTCGCGGCCCTGCCGTCGCAGCCCTACCGTCGTGGCCCTGCCGCCACGGCCCTGCCGTCGCGGCCCTGCCCTGCAGCCGCCGTCGCGCCTGCAGCCACCGTTGCGGCCCTGCCCAGCCGCCGTCGCGCCAACAGCCGCTGTCGCGGCCCCGCCGTCACCGCCGTCGTGCGCCTACCCTGCCGCCGCCCAAGGAGCGCCGGCCCTACCCGCCCGTCGAGCGCCTGCAGCCGCCCGTCAAGCGCCTGCCCTGCCGTCGCCCGTCAAATGCCTGCCCTGCCGTCGCCCGTCGAGCGCCTGCCCTACCCGCGCCTGTCGCACGCCTGCCCTACCCGCCGCCGGTGGCACCTGACCTACCCGCCCATGGTGAGCACCTGCCTGCCTGCCTAGCCGCGCCGCTCAGCCGAGCCGCGCCGCCCTACCGAGCTGCGCCGCCCAGCCGAGCCGCGCCGCTCTGCCGAGCCGCGCCGCTCTGCCCTACTAAGCCGCGCTGCCCTGCCCGCGCTGCTCCTGCTGCTACTGATGCTTCTGCTGCTACTGCTGCTACTGCTGCCACTACTGCTACTGCCACCATGGCTAGCCCTACAGTTCTTACCTTCGATGCTGAGGGTCGTGCAGTTGACTTCAATGTTTGGGTAGATGATCTGCAGCTCTTTCTTCAGTGCGATTCTAAGGACGGAGTCTCGCTTTTCGATCTCATGTCCGGCACTGCTGCTGCACCTGCTGCCGATGCTGACAGTACGGTTCGCTCACAGTGGACTACTCGTGACGCTGTAGCTCGCCTTGCTGTTCGTAGTCACCTGCCATCTGCTGAGCGCGCGCACTGTGGCCAGTACAAGACTGCTAAGTCTTTGTATGACAATGTCGTAGCGCGCTACTCCTCCCCTGCCACTGCTACCCTCAGCCGCCTCATGCTACCGTACCTGTTCCCTGACCTGGCTGCCTTTGCCACAGTCGCTGACCTCATTACTCACCTCCGCACTAGTGACGCCCGCTACTGCGCTGCGCTTCCCTCCGAGTTCTGCGCCAAGAACCCCCCCCCCATGTACATCACCCTCTTCTACCTAGTCACCCGTCTCCCTGACTCCCTTTCCCCAGTCAGGGGCCACTTTCTCTCCCTTTGCCCCACCGACCTCACCGTCGACCTGCTAGAGGAGCGCCTCACTGCAGCTGAGAAGAGTATAGTTGCTGTAGGTGCTTCTCGCGGCGACCCTCGCACCCCGTTCTTTGAGGGGTGTTCCCCCGTTCCCCTTCTGCCCTCTGTTGCTTCTGCTGCTGCTGTCGACCTCCTTGGCACCAAGGAGGTCGGGGCAGCTTCTGCTCCTAGTGGGAGGCACCGCAACGGCAAGGGCAAAGGGGGCAAGGGTGGTGGAGGGGACGGCAGGGGCGGCGGTGGTGGCGGTGGAGGAGGCGGAGGGGGTGGGGGTGGAGGCAAGGGTGGTGGCGGGAGTGGGGGCGTCGGTGGCGGCGGTGGAGGTGGTGGAGGCAGCGGCAGCGGTAGTGGAGGCAGCGGCAGCGGCGATGGAGGCAGCAGCGGTGGCGGTGGAGGTGGTGGAGGCAGTGGCAGCGGTAGTGGAGGCAGCGATAGCGGCGATGGAGGCAGCAGCGGCGACGATGGAGGTGGCGGCGGCGGTGGAGCTGGTCGGGGTGGAGCTGCGCAGCGTGGAGGCTTTGGCGGTAGCCAGCGCCAGCAGCAGCCGCGTTCCCGCGAGACCCCGTCGCCCTAGCAGCATCGTGAGTGGTACGCTGGGCGTGGGAGGTCTGGGGGTGCTGGTCCCTGCACTTACGTTCTCCACACCGGCGGGCGCCGTGGGGAGACGTGTGGCCTGCCAAACTCGCCGCAGCGTTGTTTCGGTCGCCTGTCTGGCGCCTGGCGCGCACAGTTTCCTGACGCCACTGAGCTCCCTAGCTGGGCTGATCTGCTTAGGCTGAATGTTGATATCTTTGCTCTTGACTATGATGCTATCCTTGCTGCCATGTATGCTGTGACTATTAGTGCTGAGGGTGACTGTTACCTGTGTGTGCCGCCTGACCCAGGTATAGAGTCTGCTGCTCTAGGTGCTGGTGAGGCTGCTGCTCTAGGTGCTAGTGAGTCTACTGCTCCAGGTGCTGGTGAGTCTCCTCTCTCTGGTACTGCGCCTGCTCAGGCCTTGCACACCTTCACACTTGACTCAGTTTTTCCCGCTCCTTCTTTCGCGACAGCACCACACTCACGCCGCTCAGTTGGCCGGTTGCAGTCTCCCTGCCGGACCCCTCTGGGGTCCCAGTCCTTGCGCACTCCTCCACGGTCCTGCCGTGTACGGCGGTCCCGTCTGGCTCACTGTCGGGTCTTCACCTCCCCTCGTTCTCTACGAACTTGGTGAGTGGAGCTGACCTCCAGGATAGGTGGGTTGACCCGTTCACTCCTGGAGGTCAGCGGGTGACCCACTGTACTTGCTCCCGGACGGGCCGGCACCTAGCCACGTTTACCCGTGCGCCTGGTTCGAGTTTGTAGACACTGACTTTTGTGTCCCCTCAGGTAGCTGCGTCTGCGTCTGCGTCAGGTCAGCTAGCGGCCCCCTGCTTGTGTCGCGCTCTGTCGCACCAGACCGTCCTTTGGCACCACCGTCCTGGTCACCCCTCAGTGCATCGCCTCCGTGGCATGCACCGCCGTGTCCTTGTCTCTGGTCTTCCCAGGGTTCTCCCTCCCCTCCCACCCTCGCCTGCTCCTCCCTGTCTTCCCTGTGTCGAGGGGCGGCAACGCGCCGCTCCTCAGTCCTCCTCGTTTCCCCCGACGACTGCTCCCCTGTAGACCCTCCACATGGACGTGTGGGGCCCAGCCCGCGTTCGTAGACAGGACCGCGAGCGGTACTTTTTGCTGGTCGTTGACGACTACACGCGTAACACTACGGTCTTCCCCTTGCGCACTAAGGGTGAGGTCCCTGATGTTTTGATCCCTTGGATCCGCGCTGCCCGTCTCCAGCTCCGCGAGCGGTTCGGGATGGACTTTCCCGTCCTGCGTCTGCACTCTGACAGATGTGGTGAGTTTGCCTCCGACTTTCTGCGGGACTTTTGTCGTGGGAAGGGCATTCGCCAGACGTTCACGCTCCCGGCCAAATCGCAGCAGAATGGGATTGCTAAGCGCCGCATTGGCTTAGTCATGGAGGTCACTCGTACCTCCATGGTCCATGCGGCTGCCCCCCATTTTCTGTGGCCGTTTGCGGTCCGTTACGCTGCGCATCAGCTCAACCTCTGGCCACGTGTCTCCTTGCCGGAGACCTCGCCCACACTGCGTTGGACGGGGAAGGTTGGCAATGCGTCAGTGTTTCGGGTCTAGGATTCTCGTGCCTTTGTCCGCAATACTACCGCGGACAAGCTCTCCGCCCGTGCTATTCCCTGCGTCTTCCTTGACTTTGTCCTTGACGCGCCTCGCTGGCAGTTCTACCACCCCACCTCGCGCCGTGTCCTGCCCTCTCAGGACGTCACGTTCGATGAGTCGGTTCCCTTTTACCGTTCTTCCCCTACCGCACTGCCTCTCTCCCCCCCCCGCCGCTCTTCCTTGCCCTAGGTCCTCCTCCGGTAGACCCCCTCCCCCCTCATGGTCCTGCTCAATCAGGTGTGTCCCAGGAAGAAGGTGTCGAGCCGGTCGAGGTAGCGGTTGACTCTGGTGCGGCTACTTGGGGTGGTGCTGCTAGGGGTGCTGAGCCTGAGCGTGCGGAGCCTGGGGGTGCTGAGCCTGAGCGTGTGGAGCCTGGGGGTGCTGAGCCTGAGCGTGTGGAGTCTGGGGGTGCTGAGCTTGGGGTTGCTGAGTCTGAGGGTGCGGGGCCTGGGGGTGCTAAGCCCTGGGGTGCTGAGTCTGAGGGTGCTGAGTCTGAGGGTGCTGAGCCTGGAGGTGCTGAGCCTGGAGGTGCTGAGCCTGAGGGTGCTGAGCCTGCGGTTGCTGAGACTGGGGGTGCTGAGTCTGCTGGAGTTCCTGCAGGTGCCTCGTCTCAGCGGGGGCCTCTCTCTCCACCGCAGTTGCGTGAGTGGTTTGCTCGCCGCTGGAAACTCCAGCAAGGTGCTGCTGGAGCTGGAGCTGTTGGAAGTACTGTTGGTGCTGGATCTGCTGGAGGAGCTGGAGCTGCTGGAGCTGGAGGTGCTGCCGGAGCTTGCGCTGCTGGAGGTACTGCTGGTGCTGGTGCAGCCGGAGGTGCTGGAGCCGCTGGTCCCGGAGGTGCTCATTCTGGAGGTACTGGAGCTGCTGGGGCTGGTGGTGCTACCGGAGTTGGAGCTGGAGGCGCTAGTGTTGTTGCTGCTGGAGGTGCTACTGGAGCTGGAGCTGCTGGAGGTGCTGAAGCTGGTTGTGCTGCAGGAGTTGGAGCTGCAGACCTTGGAGCTAGGGGTACTGGTACTGTCTCTACTGGTTCTGGAGGCGCTGCGCGGCCGCGGCCGTACTTCGTTCCACTTCTTCAGCAGGTTCTTGGCCTCTCACCTTCTACTAGTCCCACTCTTCCCTTACTGTGTCCACAGCCTGCCCCGTCGCAGTCGCAGCTACAACCACCCTCTCCACTGTCTGGTCCTTCTCCTTACTCTGGGCCGACTAGAGGTCTTACGGAGCGTCATGAGCCTGAATCTCGTCCTGCGTCGCCTGCGTCTCATCAAACGTCACCCGTTCACGCTGTTCGCACTGGTAGTCGTGTCCCGCGTCTGCGTCCTCCTACTGTCCCAGGCACGCACCAGATGGCACTTCGTCCTTCCACTGCTCCACTGCGTGTCCCTCTGCCGTCTCCTCCTGCGTCCTCTCTTGCTGACGGTCCGAACCCGGATTCTGACTCCTTTCGTGCTGCTAGTCCTACTGTCATGCGTCTCCTGGCCACTGTTGTTACTGACTCGTCGTTCCAGTCCACTTCTGCGTCTGCCCTAGTTGCTGAGCTTGTTGACTTTGCTGCCGCCTATTGTCTAGACTACGCCGCTAGTCTTGTTGCTGAGTCTGAGTCTGTCTGTCCTCTATCCGTCGGGGGTGAGTGTGCTCTTGGCACGGACGTCCTTGAGGACAGGCAGGAGGAGTTTGAGTGCTTTGCCGCTGCTTTACCTCATCTCGTGTCCATGCTGCTTGCACCTGAGGGAGACCCGGATGCACCAGACATCCCGACCCCGCGCTCTTACGCAGAGGCGATAGAGGGTCCCTACTCCTCTCAGTGGCAGACAGCCATGGACGCAGAGATGGCATCCTGGAAGTCCACAGGCACTTACGTCGACGAGGTTCCCCCGCCTGGGGCGAACATCATCAGTGGCATGTGGATTTTCAGGGTGAAGCGGCCGCTGGGTTCTCCGCCTGTCTTCAAGGCGCGTTACGTTGTACGAGGCTTCAATCAGCGAGAGGGAGTTGACTTCTTCCAGACCTTCTCCCCCACCCCGAAGATTACCACTCTTCGGGTTCTGCTGCACGTCGTCGCTCAGCGTGACTACGAGCTGCAGTCTCTTGACTTCAGCACTGCTTTCCTACAGGGCAGCTTGCACGAGGAGATCTGGCTGCGCCACCCACCTGGCTTCACTGGGTCGTTTCCTGCTGGTACCCAGTGAAGCCTCCGGCGGCCAGTCTACGGTCTCCGCCAGGTGCCCCGTGAGTGGCACGACACACTGAGGATGACCCTTGCGGCTCTTGGCTTTGCTCCTTCCACTGCTGACCCGTCGTTGTTTCTACGCACCGACACCTCTCTGCCGCCGTTCTGCGTCCTCGTGTACGTCGACGACTTGGTCTTTGCTACTTCTGACACACCTGGACTCGCCCACGTGAAGTTGGAGATGCAGAAGAGACACACGTGCACAGACCTGGGTGAGCTGCGCAACTATCTTAGCTTGCGGATCACCCGGGACAGAGCACAGCGCACCATTACTTTGACTCAGTCACACATGGTGCAGCAGGTCCTTCAATGCTTCGGCTTCACGTACTCCTCGCCACAGCCCACTCCTCTGCCTACTCGCTGAGAAGAAACAAGAGTGGATGAACTGTGAATGAAGTGGGTACAAGTACTAACCCTAATTGGGTTGTACCCCCTATGGGATACCCCACTACAGCCTACACAAAAGTATAAGCTATAACGTTCTGACACACCCCCATAGGCAAAGTGGGGGAGAACAAGGGGTCACAAGACCAGTCAAGCAAAGCAAAGCAAGGCAAGCTCAGGGTGGATCACAACGTCACCACACATTCTGAGCACAAGTTCAAGGCCAGAAGGCCAGTTCACATGCAGGAGTACATATACAAATAGATAAGGCTAGACAAGCAAGAGCAGGTATATATATATGTAACAGTACAAGCAAGGTCAAGGGGTGACCAAGTGAGGCAAGACAGGGACAAGACCCAGCTGAGTGCAGAAGCGCTGATGATCACAAGGCGGAAGAGCCTTGGTGAAGACATCAGCAGTGTTGGCCTCAGAGGCCACGTACGCAAGCCGCAACTGACCACGCTGCTGTAGCTCACGAGCAAGGAAGTAGCGAAGAGCAATGTGCTTAGTTCTGTGCTCCAGTCTCTGCTCTCGACACAAGGCCAGCATGGCCTTGTTGTCTACGTACAGGACTGGAGGAGAACGAGGCGGCTCTCCAAGGTCGGTCAGCAGGTAGGCGAGCCAGCGAAGCTCCTGGGCAGCCATGGCCCCAGCGTAGATCTCAGCCTCACAACTGGAGCCGAGAACAGAAGACGAGCGAGTAGCCCGCCACGAAACAGAGCCGGAACCGAGGCTGAAAGTGTAACCCTGTGACGACCGCTGCGTAGCCTGGTCGTCAGCCCAAGAAGCGTCCGCGTGCCCAGTGAGGACCACTGGACTCCGCCCTCCAAGCACTAGCCCCATGCCCAAGTAGCGCAACACCCTCTTCGCAGCAGCCATGTGCTCTGGTCGGTGTCTCCCAGGAGCAACATAGCGTGCAAGAATGCTAAGAGGGTATGCAAGGTCAGGTCGTGTGCAGGTCATCAGGTACATGAGGCAGCCAACAAGCTCTGGATACGGGCCACTCGACTCTACGGACTCATCCGAAGGCAGAGCTGAGAGT